ACTCACCTCAGCCTCCCAAGGCACGGGATTACAGGCTGAGCCACCAAGCCCGGCTGAAAGAACTTATTAATCTTTAGCTATTTAAAGCTTATTTTTCCTGTAGTTTTTTTTTTTGAGTTGGAGTCTCACTTTTGTTACTCAGGCTGGAGTGCGGTGGCACGCTTACAGTCACTGTAGCCTCGACCTGCTGGGCTTAGGCGATCCTTCCACCTCAGCCTTCCAAGTAAGATTTTTAAGTTCATGGTTTATGAAATTTATATCTAATCCTTTAGTATTTTCTATTTATTGTTTATATGTTTTTGTTTATGATTATTTTAGTTTAATAATTTTTCCTTTTCTCCCTCATACTCCTGTTATTAGAATAATATTTTAAAATTATTTACTTTATGGATCAAAACTTTTCTTCCTATCATATGATTAATAAATTGCAGTAAAATTATTTTATCATTCACTCTGTGATCAGTAAAAGGTGGTTTATGAATATAAGAAGTGAAAATTTTATTGCTTTTATCCTTCCTTTAGAGGCTCAGTTTTGTCCTCTAAGACATTTAGAAGTTGCTTAACACAGATGTTACTTAGGGAAAACGAAAAATAAAGAGAAGAGAAAAGAAAAGCTATTCTTTATAAAGATAGCTAGAAGTATGTAAGTGCACATTCTTAAACACGTATAAATTTTGTAGAAAATAAACTTTATGAAAACGAACCATTTGTTCTTCGTAGCAAAAGTACAGGTAAATGTCATTGACTTTTGTAGCTGAGGGGCCCACTCAGGTTGCCGCATCACGTGAATGGTAGATCTGGGACTAAAACATCAATATCCTGGCTCCCCTGTTGTGCTCTTTGGTTGATGCCACACTGCCTTCACATGCCTGGGAGCTCTCTGGGCAAAGCAAGAACTCTTTATCTCCCACATTTGTAGGTATGTAAAAGAAAGCATGAGGCAGCATTAGCCCTGTCAACCTAAGTTATGGAAAAAAAATTGCTTCAGCCGTTTGTCCAGCTTTGGCGGTGGTTCTAGCCAGATTTAAGGTTTGTGTCGATAGAATATTTAACAGTTGAGAAGGGAAAGGTATTTGACAGATAATGTTGGAATACTTGTAGGAAATTTTAAAGCTTATAGAACTATTTAGGTTTTTCAGTTCTTGAGTCAGTTTGAATAAGCTTATTTTTTATAGGAATTTGCTTATTTTATTGCATTTGTTTCCGAATATATTGATGAAAAGTTTATTACATCCTCTTGTCTTTCTTTGAGTCTTTGGAGCATCTATATCCGTATTCCTCCTTTTGCTCCTGTTACTACAGTATTTATTTGACCCTCATGGTTTCCTTTTTTTTTTAAGACAGAGTCTTGCAGTCTTGCCAGGCTAGAGTGCATATCATAACTCACTGTAGCCTCGAACTCCTGGGCTCAAGTGCTTCAATGATCCTCTCACCTCAGCTTCCCAAGTCACTAGGACTACCAGTGTAGTCCTGGCTAATTTTTAATTTTTAATTTTAATTTTTAATGCCTGGCTAATTTTTTAAAAAGCTTTCTCTGAGGCAAAATCTTGCTAAGTTACTTAGGCCGGTTTCAAACTCCTGGCCTCAGGTGATCCTCCCACCTTGGCCTTCCAGTGTGCTGCTATTACAAGTATGAACCACTGCACCCAGCCCTAGGACTTTCTTGTTTTTAAAGGCTGAATAATATTCGTGTGTGTGTGTGTGTGTGTGTGTGTGTGTGTGTGTGTGTGTGTGTACTGCTTTCTCTGTCACCCAGGCTGGAACGCATTGGTGTGATCATAGCTCACTGCAGCTTCGAATTTCTGGGTTCAAGTGAGTAGCTAGGACTACAGTTGGACACTACCACACCTGGCTAATTTTTTTTTTCTTTTTGTATGGAAAGGGCCTTACTATGTGCCCAGGCTGGCAAAAATCATATTTTGGAATCTGCATGGATAAAGGTTACACTCTGGTCTGTAGTAAATTTATCAAGCCACTTGAGATATAGTCTGACAATTTAGTAATAAATATTTTAGCTCTAGAGATTATTCGTTTTTTGTTTGTTTGTTTGTTTGACTTATTAAAGTTTTAAAAAAGAGTTTTATTTAGGTTGATAGCAAAATTGGGCAGCAAGTACAGAGAGTTTCCATAATAATATTTTTAAAAATAGGTTAAGATTTTGGTATCTTAGAACATAACTTTTTTGAGATTATTTTAAGTTTTTAATTTAAAAAAATTTATTTTGACTTTTAAAGGAAGATTGAGCTGTTTTTACAACTGTAAAATAAGTAATTATATAGCAGGCAGTGATAGTTGACCATTAAGCTGCTAGAGTATAAGAACAAGGATTTAGGAGTGAGTTTATTAGATTAAGGAAAGTGGCAAATAAAACATTTATATCCATATTCCATTAAAGCAGTTTGCGAAGAAATTAATAATAGCAAATAAATAAAAGGTTTGTCAAACAACATTACATACTTCTAATATGGCACATTGACTTTTCATCATTATCTTGGGAGCTGACTTTTTTGGTCATTTCATTCAGGTAAAATAAGTTCATTTGACCACATGACTGTATTAAGTATACCTACTGATTACTCTAGAGTAGAAAGGGGCAGATTTTAGGTGAAGAGCTTGTAATTTTTAATGTGGAAATGAATAGGTAGTGCTATAAAAAGAAAAAGTAGAAGCAATTTAGATCTGTTTCTATTTGTAACTAAAAAGTAAAGAAAAAATGGAAATAAACATGCACAGGAATAGGACTTTGATAAGATTAAGAGTATTTTTGTTGTTTTGTTTTTGCATGTCTGGGTTGTATAATTTTTTGCTGTGAAAAATATATTTGTGATGAGAAAATTTACTTTTTTTAAAGTTAAGATCCCAGAAAATATCTGAAGCAAAGAATAACTATGAGATATTTCTTTTACATTTAGCCTTATTATTAAATTATATAACTTGATTATATGTAAAATGAAATGTGAAAACTTTTTTTTCCTTTATATACTTAGAAAAACTAAGGTGTCTTATTACATGTGATTTTTATTACTTTTTGAAGGCAAGTTTAATTTTTAGTTTATAATTAGAATTATCAAAAACTATTTTAGTAATATAATTCTCAAAAAAACAACAGTAATGGCTGGGAGTGATTTTGTGTACTTGTAGTCTGAGCTACTCAGGTGACTGAGGTGGGAGTATTGGTTAAGGCCAGGAGTTTGAGTTTAGCCTCGGAAATAAGTGAGATCCCCATCTCTAAAAAAATATTTAAAAACAAGTGATGTAAGTTACAAAAAATTGGCTCATTTTGAAAAATTGTATCTGTATTGAACTTTGCAAAAGCACAGTTATTTCAGGTAGCAAAGAATAATACCATTTTGAGATAGTACAATTGCAACAAATCTTTCTTCCACTTGCAGTCATTGTCTACCTACCTCAAGCATTTCTGTGTGTGTGCAAATTATTTGGATTTAAGAGGGTTTTTCAACAATGAATTGGTTAACTTTAGAAAATTGTTTATATCTCACGTTTTATAATGTAGAAATGTATATACAAGTCCTTGAATGTATATACAAATCTTTTCATTATGGTGGTTTTTTTTTTTTTGAGTTGGAGTCTCAGTCTGTCACTCAGGCTGGAGTGCATTGGTGGCATGCTCTTGGCCACCACAACCTCGACCTGCTGGGCTCAGGTGATCCTTCCACCTCAGCTTTCCAAGTAGCTGGAACCACAGGCGCGTGCCACCATGCTCAACTATTTATTTTTTGTAGAGGTGAGGTTTCACTAAGTTGCCCAGGCCTGAACTCTTGGGTTCAGGCAATTCTCTCACCTCTGCCTACCAAAGTGCTGGGATTACAGACTTGAGCCACCACCGACCTCGTTATAATTTTAATGAGAAAAAATAGATTCCCAGCGGAGGCCTCTGTCTGTGGGGAATTTGCATTTTCTCTCCATTTGGGTGTGAATTTTCTCCAGGTACTCCAGTTTCCTCCCACATCCCAGAGCTGTGCATATTAGGTGAATTGACATATCTAAATGGTCCTAGTCTGAATGAGTGTGGCTATATGAAGGGGGCCCCTAAATAAACACAGAATTGCTTTTTGGAGGGCAGGCCCCTTGAAGTACAGGTTTCCCCTGCTAGGTAAGTATTCTGGGAACCCATCAACATCAGTGTACCAGCTAGCATTGTTGTGAGAGGCTGTGTTCAGCTTCAGTGAATTTTTTTTTTTTGGAGCTTCTTTCAACGACTTTGCCCATTTCATGATGGATGATTTATGAGCGCACTTGCCCACATCATGCTGAGTATTCAGTTTTTCACCCAAAAAAGCATGACTCCTGTACCCCCATCTTCTCTATTCTCCTGGTCTTGCCCTGAGCAACTTTTTTTGTTTGTTTGTTTCCCTGGTTGAAAAAAGTCCTCAAAGGGAAATGTTTTGCCAGTGTGGAAGAGGTGAAACAAAAAACAGCAGAAGCACTAAAAGGCATCAAAATTGACCAGTTCAAAAACTGTTTTGAGCAGTGGAAAAGCATCTAAGATAGGTGTATTACATCCATTGGAGTGTACTTTGAAGGTGACTGAGTTTAAACATGTAAGAATAGGGCCGGGCTCGGTGGCTCAGCCTGTAATCCCGTGCCTTTGGGAGGCTGAGGTGAG